AAAAAAAAAAAAAAACAGAAAAGAAAAAAGAAAGAACATTGAATCGTACAAAAATTGACATACCAGCCGATTGCTTTTTTTTTTAACTGCTCATTTCTTTTTTTTTTTCTTTTTGGTAATTTTTTTTTTTTACTTATTGTTTATAACTCCATCGATCGTACATATATGTATACTCGTATATATTCTGTCATTTAACATACATATGTGTCCGGTGTTCATTCTTGATCAAACGTCATTGTTCCATTCGTTGATATGAGACATGTATGTATATACATATATATATTTATATTTGTTTATGTACAAGTTTTATATTCCAAATTCAATCTTCCAATTTTTAATTGAAACATTAATCTTCAACACTTGTATTTTTTCTTTTTTTTTTTTTTTAATTTAATTTCAATAATATTATAATTAATTAATTTACATTCAATTTTATTCTTTTTTTTTTCTTACAAAAATCTGAGAAAAAGAAATCTACTAGATTTGTTGAATTTGAAGTATATATATAAAACTTGTATTTGCATATACATACATACATACATATATAGATATACATATGTATACGTATATTAGTCTATGAATAAATTCTAGGATCAGTTCTCAACCATTTAGCATAGCATCGATCATTTTCATTCTCAATCTTTATGAATGAGATTTATGTGAGTGAGTATGGGTGTGTGTTTGTGTGAGTATGTGTCTTAGGAAAGTTTTCAAGTAATACGAAATTGATCGTATTTGAACGAAAGTTACTTTCGTTTTCTTTCATTTATTCTTTATTATTTCCTTGTTTTTTTTTTTTTTACTTTTTAACACGCTGTGCACCACACCCATTATTTAAGGAAATTCCCGTCAGGCCACGTGCGCCACTTAGAATCACAGCTGTCGTATGCTGTCAGTCATTTGTGACTGACGCGGCCTGAACGGAAAATCTAGTGTCAGTCACCGATGACTGACGTGGCGCTCAACGTGTTAATATTTAATATCCTCACTCACAAAAAGAAAGAGAAAGAGAGAAAGAGAGAGAGAGAGAGAGGGAGAGAGAGAGAATAGGCATTTAATTATTTTATATATGAAGATTCGCGATAGGTTACAGCCAAATCTTATGAATATATGTGTGTTTATGTGTGTGTGTCGTCCACATAGGATGTAAATGATGATTATATAATTATTGTTAAAAATGTAGTGTAGAAAAAAAAAAAGTAGCAGTACGTGTGAAATTCACACACACTCACACACATATACACACGAGAAACAACGCACGCATATTCACATAAACATACATGCACGCAGGCACACACGCACACTCCTCGCACACACGTGTTTACTCGATTTATAGAAATTTACGATTCTAGAAACATTTAAAGCTTATTTTACGAACTCACACATCGCCAGTGAATTCATTTGATATCTCGATTGCGCGATAATTAATTAAATAAATAAATAAATTAATTAATTATTTAATTAATTAGTTAATTAATTAAAGGACGATTGAATTTCATTTGAGAACGTTTGTTTCATTAGGACGAGTGCTTCATCTTTACGTATCCTCTTTCTTCATTTTGTTATTCATTTATTATTTTTTTGTTCAATGAATTATTATGTTCCTGTTTTTTATCTGGACAGATGTTTTTCACAATCAATTTTGTTATAACATTTGTTAATAATTTTTTAAATGAATTATTATGTTTTGTAACAATTAATTTTGTTATAATATTTTTTTGATGAATATTATTATTATTTCCTATTAATTTGTTTATAAACAACTATCACTTTCTCGTTTGTCGTAAACGATGATTCATCTCAAGTGTCCGTGCATTCTCATCGATGTTAAATATGTTTGAAATATTTTTGTTTTTTTATTTTTTTTTTTTAATTTTTTTTTCTTTGGTCCATCTCGTATATAATAATTCTATATACCATTTTTTTTTTCCTACACACTGATTAGGATCCTTCCCTCTTTCATTTTTGTATTTTTCTATTATTTTTTGTTCGTCATATTTCAACGACGATTATTATATTATAGCGATCGCAAGAGTTAACACACTTCATATATCAGTTTTATATATATATAAAAAAAAACCAACCAACCAACCAACCCAACAAAAAAAAACAAACAAACAAATTGTATCTTTTACGCATATTACAATTATTGTATTATCTAATTATGTGTTATGTATGTATATATGAATGATAATAATAATAATGTATTTTTATATTCGGTGTACCTTACTTTAATCGCTATGAATATTGGGCGTCGTAAAAATTCTACCTTGATAAAAAGATCCTCGTCGTATTCTCACCTCGTCGTGTTAGTAATAGGTAGTCGTATAATCATAATCATAATCATAATCGTAATCATAGTCTCGTCGTTATCATAATCGTTATTATCATCATCRTCGTCGTTGGTATATGTATATGTATCTGAATGTGTAAGTGTCTTGTGTATGTGGTTAACTTGTTAGTGACAATTCACGTTATATGTGAACATATACATATGTATATATGTATATATGTATGTATGTATGTATGCATGTATTTACGTGCCAAGAAAATTTGCCAGCAGTGCTCTTTATTTTTTTTTTTTTTTTTAAATACGTACATATATATGTATTTGTTAATAATATGTAATATGTATGTACGTATGTAAATATTTATGTATTATTCGATGACCCTGAAACGACGCGGGGTGTATTTTGTTTTTCTTCTTTTTATTAATTTGATTATTATTTTTATTATTATTATTATTATTATTATTATTATTATTATTATTATTTTGTCTCACGTTTTGTTGTTCATTTTATTTTTTATTTTTTTTTTGTTCTTTCGGTTAATTTTTTCACCGGTGTACGAGGGCGTTTTTTTTTTTTTTTTTTAATAAAAATTGACAATGGAGGGATTTTTTACTGTCCTGCCTACACCGTGTTTTAATCCTTTTTTTTATTTATATAATATTTCTATTCTCTTTTGTCTTATATTTAAAAAAAATAAAAAATAAAATAAAAAAAAGAATTGTCTTTTTCTTTTAGGCCCACGAATTTTCTTTACATTCTCGTGTACCATAGGTTTAATCGAATGTGTTTTATGGTTTAGTTTTTTATCCTTCGTCCATCATTCGTTCTCCTAATCAATCCATGTGGTCATTTTTGAATGATTATAATTTAAATAAATAACAAATTATGATATAAATCGTATAAACTAAAAATATAAATGTATCATTTGTTATAAATATAGGATTTTTGGTATAAATCATAAATAAACCATAATTAAATTGAAAAAAACATGTAAACGATCGACGATTCGTCAAAGTATTACAACCACACACACACACATGTTCATTTATTATATTATTTATTTAATATTGACGTTCGAAATATATTTTTTTATTAGTTTAATAGATGCATTTCTTTTTTTATGGTAACTCTCTTAAGATTTGCAATAAAAATAAAAACATAGAAAATAAAAAGAGAGAGTTTCATTATGGTTGTTGTAATACTTGTGACCATGACATTTAATTCTGATAATGGTCGTTGGTCATGATCAATGATCGTCATCTCGTTCTGTTATCTTTTGCAATCATTTTTGTAAAAGTCTTTTCCGGTAATGAAAATTGTGGTTTGTTTGTTGTTGGTTGTTTTTGGTTTCATAGCCTTTAGATATAATCTACGAAAGGTCCAATCATTTTTAATCTAAACGGTAGGATTCTATTTCAAGGAATACACGAATGCGTATTGGTTGCTTGTCCTGGTGATGATAATGGTACCGATAAATCCGAGTCTAATATCAGATCACTGATACACCCTACGATACCTTTGGTATATCTTCCACCTGTTGTTTTAATAATATCTGGTGCACCACCTGTTCAAAACAAAAATAAAATCATTTTATATTAGAAATTAATGAAATATTAAAATATTAAAAAATATATATATGTATATATATATATCTTATAAGAACAAATGTATTACTTTTTTTTATAAAATAAAATAATTTTCTATTAGAAAATATAAAACATAAATAAAATAACACAAAAACAATAAAACAAAATTGTAAAATAATTAAATATTAAAATATTAAAAAATATACATATTTTATAACAACAAATATATTATTTTTTTTTATTATAAAATAATTTTGTAATTTAAAATAATTAAATATTAAAATATTAAAAATATATGTATTTAATTATTTTGTTGTATAATTAAATAAATATTTATATATGTATTTATATATACATTTAAATAGTATAATACATTTGTATTATAATATATATGTAATAATTATTTTTTGTTTTGTTTAAATTAATTTTACTTACCAACATATAAACCAGTGTCGGTGTTTAATTGTCTTAATTGACCTGGGGAAGATGCCGACACACCTGTACCACTGTCAACTACGAGAGATGCCCATTGTTCGTTTCTAAAATCAATTTTAGTATTTCATTTTATTTTTTTTATGTTAATATGATATTTTGTCTTTTGTATTCTTTTATTTTTTTTACCTGACGGCTCGAACACGATGCCACAAATCATCGTCCAGCCTTGTAAGATTGTATTTTAAAATGGCTTCACCTGAGCCAAGATTATAAGCCAATGTAAGATAACCCTGATTTAAACCTAGTGCTAGGAAATCGTCATTTTCGTCTTTTTGTTCTTGTGGATCCGAATGTCGGCCACTCCAAAGTAATAAACCACTACTGCTGCTTGCTCTGAATCTCATATTAATGTCTACTCTATAACTTATTATCCTGAAACATAAACAATAATAAATTTTGCAGATTAATTACACTATTCTTATTATAAGTGTCTTATTGTGAGTGTGAATCAAATAATATTTTATAAAAAAAAAAAGGTATATTTATTCTAATATTTAATGAGATTTAAGTTAATTGGATAATCAACAAAATATAATAATATATATATATATATATATATATATATATATAT